GGCGGACACAACATCTTTGTTTGTATGTGGTGCTGAGGCTCGAACCCGGGCTGCACGCACGCCAGGTGAGCGCACTACCGCTTGAGCCAGATCCCCAGCCCTCACCATTGGTTTTAGTGACTATATTATAAAAGTGGATTCATGGTGGGTAGTTGGGAATTTCTTTATGGGCCAGTCATTTTGTTATAAATGGCCCATTACAACAAAATGGTGAGCTGACTAAAAATGGTGAGCATGACAGTTTTAAGAAACTTATACAGATTAAAAAATAATTAAAATAGGGCTGGGGTGTGGCTCAGTGGTAGAGTGCTCGCCTAGCACGTGCGAGGCCCTGGTTTTGATCCTCAGCACCACATAAAAAATAAATAAATAAAATAAAGGTATTGACAACTAAAAATTTTTTTTAATTTAAAAAATAATTAAAATATATAAGTGAAGTTCATAATACATTTTTTCCTCTTCCTCTCTCATTCTTTCAATGCTAGCCTTAGACAAGTATTCTACCACTGATCTATGTCCCCAGTACCTTTAAATTTTATTTTGATCTGGGTACAGGGGCTCACGCCTATAATTCCAGTGGTTCAGGAGGCTGAGGCAGGAGGATCACAAGTTTAAAGCTAGCCTCAACAACATAGCAAGGCCCCGATCAATTTGACAAGACCTTATTTTAAAATAAAAAAATTAAGAAGGGCTGGGCAGGTGACTTAATGGTTAAACATCCTTGGGTTAAATCCCTGGTACCAAAAAGACTAAAAATATTTTGAGACAGTATTTTGTTAAATTGTCCAGACTGGCCTTGAACTTGCAATCCTCCTATTTTAGCCTCCCAAGTAACTGGGATTACAAAGAGTTTAATGTTTTTTTTTTTAAATCATAGCTATGACTTGAACCTTTCTAACCTGGTATTATATATTTAATGGAAAATCTTTTTTTTTATTGTTCTTCTTTTTAGTTACACATGACAGTAGAATGCATTTTGACATCATACTTACATGAAGTATAACTTCCCATTTTTGTGGTTGTACATGTGGATTTACACTGGTCGTGTATTCATATACAAACATAGGAAAGATTTGTTCGATTCATTCTACAGTCTTTCCTATTCCCATCTCCCTCCCTTCCCTGTACTCTGCCCTATAGATCTGCTATCATCCCTAGGAGATCTGGTAATATCCCCTGCCCCCCAACCATGTGAGTCAGCATCCACATGTCAGAGAGAACATTCAGCCTTTGTTTTTTGGGATTGGCTTATTTCACTAGCCTGATATTCTCCAGTTTCATCCATACACTGGCAAATGCCATAATTTCATTCTTCTTTATGGCACATTTTCTTTATCCATTCATCTGCTGAAGGGCACCTTAGGTTGGTTCCATAGCTTAGCTATTGTGAATTGAGCTGCTATAAACACTGATGTGGCTGCATTGCTATAGTATGCTAATTTTAAGTTATTTGGGTATATACCAAGGAGTGGGATAACTGGATCACATGATAGTTCCATTCCAAGTTTTCTGAGGAATCTCCATACTGCTTTCCAGAGTGTTTGCACCAATTTGCAGTCACACCAACAATGTATGAGTGTACCTTTCTCCCCACATGCTTGCCAACATTTATTGTTACTTGTAGTCTTGATAATTGTTTAATGCAGAATCTTAACCTAGGATGTCTTGTTTGGATGGTTGGGTTTGGGGTATGTGGAATCCTTTAATATTCATCTGTGTATTTACTGAGGTTGACTACAGCTTTTTCAGGAGATTCTCAAAGGAATCTATGACCAAAGAAAAGAAGTTAAAACCAATGCTTTTATAACTCATTGTTAGCCTATGAGATGACAATGACCCCACAAAACTAGGATATTCCCAAATAAAAGTCACCTACTTTGTGTGTTATACTTGGAGTGTTTGGACACTCTTCTTTGGGCTTCTGGGTCTCCTTCAGCCATATTCACCAACCACATCATTGTTGCTATTTGTTGAGAAAAATAAAATTCCAGGTGAGAAGTAGAAACTATATGAACAATTAGCAGGCCATTTTCTCCACACAAGCCACCAATCTTTATAATGCTGCTTTAAGTATCCTTAACAATCAGAAGTACATTTTAAAAACCACAAAATAATCTCTTTGGTTTTAACAGATTAAAAACAAACAAAAAAACTTTGAAACTGAACTGTAGTGTTGACCCTGCACAGCAGCTAGTGTCACCAAACTGTCCATCAGCATTTGCTACTCCCCGAAAAGCCACAAGGAATTCTGTTCAGGCCAGCAAGACACACTGAAGTGATGGCTACACTGGGTGAATGTCCTAAGAGAACATGAACATATTGATGAAAACCACTTAAATTCAAGGCAGACAGGCTCATAAAAGCATCATGTGATGATTATAATTCTAAAGATATAGGGAATAAACTTCCTTCACATTACATTTCACTTTATTTTCAATAATTCTAAACTATAAATGTAGTAAGAAAAATAAAAAGTTAAACTTAATAAACATGAAGTGGATAGTCATTTGGCTTCTTTTATGTGCCTTGTACAGAAATACTTATGTATCAGCACACCTGTACAGATTAGGTATATATTCCTCTCAATCACATTTTAATTAAAGACAAGATGAATACTTTAAAATGGTACTTCTCTTTGATACTGTGCAGGCAGAATGGAAAATGGTATAACTTCCACTGGTGAGGAATTTGGTAACATCTAACAAAACTACATGTACATTAACCTTTGACCCAGTAATATCACTTCTGGGAGTTTATCCTGAAGATATATCAATAATAATATAAAAATATTAACAAATGTGCCACACAGGGCTACAGTGGGAACTGAATACCAACAGAAATCTGAGGCCCGTCTAGTCATAGGAAGAGATTTTAAACAAGATACTTGATAACTATGTGTATCTGGCTTTTTCTCCCCATGGTTCTATAACTTCATCCATGTTCCTAATGCTCTTAGGCTTCTTGAAAAACTCACAAAAGAAATTCACGACCAAAGAGGCTGAAAATTCCATAGAAAGTGCATACTTTCTCATTCATCATGGTTTTGTAATTTCTGAGACCAAATGAGCTTCATTATACTGTAATCCAGATTCTAAGAAGAGAAACAGGATGTGGCTCAGTGGTAGAGTGCTTGCCTGCTATGTATGAGGCCCTGGGTCCCATCCCAACACTGCAAAAACAAAACAAAACTAAGAAGAAACAGAAGAGTGACTGCCATGTGTATGGTTTTGGATTTTTACAGCCTTTTTTTTTTTTTTTGCGAAGCAGCAGGTATTTATTTGATATGAAAGGAAAGCTTTATGCAAAATGATCTAACTCAGGAAATGTGGCTTCACATTCAGATAAGCTACCAGAGTGGACCACCTCTGTGAATGGCAGGAAGGAAGCAGTAGTTGGTTCAAAAGGTAAGTACACATTTGTCCTGTCTGGTGACAGAAATAAAAAAAGACAACAAATCTTGTTCACTCATTTCTTTAGGGTAAGAGCTTTTTGCAAACTGAATGCCTTTACTGGGAGAGAATTAAAATGCATAAAAGGATTGTATTTTTAAAGAACAGACAAGAAGATTGATTTAAAACTTTCCATATGCACGTTTATATCTGCTCCAGGGGAAAATACTAGTAAGTGTTGCAGTTTTCTTAGACTTTGGTTTAAAAACAATAAGACAGGGGGCTGGGGATATAGCTCAGTTGGTAGAGGTCTTGCCTTCCATGCACAAGGCCCTGGGTTCAATCCCCAGCACCACCAAAAAAAAAAAAAAAACACACACAACAACAAAAAACTCCTCACCATAGATTCCTGCTGCCTAGGTCTCTATCTAGATCCACCTCCTATTTCTGAACTCAGAGCAATTTCTACCTGCTTTGTTGAGAACTTTTCTCTAAGAATTATTCCTTCTTCCAAGTCTCTACTGATTTCTTCCTGTCAACTTTAGAAAAACGATTAAATCTTTCCTCTCCTGGAAACACCTTTACTCAACTGCTCTCCTCTTGACTTATCACAGGAAGCTTTGAAGAAGGAGGTGATATTGACTACACCTCTCCTTCTTCACCACCTACTCTCTGTCCATGCCAGCACATCTATTGCCAGCACCAGCAAAACCAAGATGCATGCACACACAAATTTTTCTTCCATTTTGAACACTATCCCCAGCCCAGGAGGATCACAAGTTTAAGGTGCCTCAGCACCTTAGTGAGGCCCTGTCTCAAAATAAAAAATAAAATGGGCTGGAGATGAGGCTCAGTGGTAGATACCTGGGGCTCAAACCCCAGTACAAAAAACAAAACAAAACAAAACAAACAAAAACACTAGGTTTCTCAACTTTTAAACATTCTCTTCTGTCTCCTTTCATATTCTTGCTTCATTTTCTTATTCTCTAAACACAGTAGTTGACAAAGTTCTACCCTTGGCATTCTTCTTCTCTTCTATTTGTTTTTTAACTACTCACTCATTCCAGATCTCTCTCTCTCTCTCTCTCTCTCTCTCTTTTGGTGTGGGAGGGGAGGTGGGAGTACCAGAGATTGAACTCAGAGGGCACTCAACCATGGAACCACATCCCTAGCCCTATTTTGTATTTTATTTAGAGACAGGGTCTCACTAAGTTGCTTATTAGCACCTCGCTTTTGCTGAGGTTGGCTTTGAATTCACAATTTTCCTGCCTCAGCCTCCTGAGCTGCTGGGATTACAGGTGTGCACCACCGCACCTGGCCCAGATCTTAACTATTACCTCCACAATGATTCTTCAACTCTGCATCTCTAATATCAACTATTCCCCAAGTGAATTTCATTTCTGAACTCCTACTGAAAATTTCTATCTGAACGACCCACAAGTCTCACAGTCTAAATTAGACATGGGCCAGAGAAGAGACTAAGTAGATCCCTCAAACAAGAAAATCATTTCTTCTGCATTGCCTGTCCTTCATGCTTCACATTTCTCTCCTTAGTTGCTAAGGACCAACGATTCTCCCTTGAAGCCTTTCACCAAGTCTCTCCCTTGATGGCCATTGCCAATAGCTTAATGCAGGTGTGCAGTACCCATCAGGATGATATCCTCTCAGTGATGCTTCCTAAGCATCCTGTTATCTCAGTATGCACACTGTGATTCATCTCACACAATGCTGCCAGCTTACAGTCACAGCTCTGATCACACTACTCTTCCGCATAAGAACTTTCTATGATTTCCCAATGATCACCTACTAGCACACAGGTATCTAGTCACTCTATGTTTTTTCTTTCTTTTTAAAATATTTTTTCTAGTTATCAATGGATTTTTATTTTATTTATTTATATATGGTGCTGAGAATAGAACCCCAGTGCCTCACACATGCTAGGCAAGTGCTCTACCACTGAGCTACAACCCCAGACCCCAAATCTGTGTTTTTAAATTCATCTAGTACTCTCCTTCATCAATAGTTATTGAATTAATAAGGACAGTATGACTCTAAAATAAAACAAAAATTTAAAAAAGCAACATATTTGGAAGGAACAGTAAAATTTTTTTAATTAACTAGAGCAAGATTAACCTGTAATATATGTACTTATTGCTAATTTTTGATTAACAAGATTTCAAACAGAAAAAATGGCTCCCTGATCTCTAAATATTTCCTCTTTCAACCTTTATTTAAAATTCTTAAACCATGGGAATGCAACAGACAACAATTTGCAAGAAAACAGGAGATCTGCAGGACTTCCATTAACAATAGTTATATATTTAAGAAGAGAAAAAGCATCATGATAATGATCATAATCATACACATTTGACTTCCATCATTTCTAAGCTGATTACAAATCCAACATCATTCTAAAATACTTACAGGAGTAAATAAGAGCTGGAAAGAGAGTCTCATTTCTCTCTTGAGCTGTTTCAACCAGCATACGAAGTGGACCTTTTGGGCACAAAACAGCCACTAAATCTAGAAAGAGGAAAATTAAAAAGCATTCAATAAGATTTATTGGCTAAATGTTTAAATGGGTTTAGGGAGTAACTAACCAAGGGAAAAGGCTTAGCATTTTTTATTTTAATATAAAAAAATGTTGAGTGAATATTAAAAAACTGGCAAATCAACTGGAAGAAAAAACAACCTAAACAAAATTTTAAAAAACCCTAAGATCTGTGAAAACTGCTTTTTGGGTTTGACTGCTATTTACTTAGTCTCCAGTGTGTATCATCACTAGGTTTTAGAATAAGTCTTCTTAGTTTAAAGGAACGAGGCAGAAATAGTAAGACAGAACTATTCTAGAGCAGCTAACAATCAACCTACAACAAGCAGAAAGAGGATAAGTCATTTCAAACAAAGTTAAGAACAGAAGCTTTACTCAAAATACTGAACTTTTCAAAATATGAAGAGTACAATAGAAGAGATCCATCCTTTGTCTATATTAAAAACAGTATAGGGCTGGGGGTGTGGCTCAGCCATAATAGTATCTGCCTAGCATGGGCAAGGCCCAGGGTTCCATTCCCAGCACCATGAAAACCAAATATATGTACTACTTAAGTATACTTGAAATAAGAGGGCAGTAAATTTAAATAAAACAAAATAATTAATAACTCTTTGTATGGTAAAGTTAAGTATTTCTTTATAGTTTCTAATCAAATATAAGCACCTCACAAATATTCATGTCAGAACATATATAGTGCTGAAAACTGGATTATTTCATTTAAAAAATTGCAAATCAGAGAAGCAGCAACATGCTTAAATTATTTTTAATTCTACCACTATTTCCTTCTATCAACTGCAATTTTCCTTAGATTTTCTGTCTTGAAAATTTGGAATACTGAAATATAGAAAATTTCTAATAATAATTTAAGAATGTAAAATGGGTATAGCTAAATTAATAAAGAAAGACTTGATGAGTTATGTTGACATTACTAGTGTTTAGATTCATTTAACTAAAAAAAAAAAAAAAAACCTCAAATCTCCAAGTGGTTATAACTTTATAAAATAATAATTAATGATGATATAATAAAATCAAGAAGAACACAGTAATAACAGAGAGAGAGAGAGAAAGAGAGAGAGAGAGAAACCTCCATCCTCACCACTTCTATTCCGTTTGCTTGAAAGAGAAAAGGGAAATTTGACTTGCTCTGAAATAACGAGATCTTCAGCTTGCTTGCAGCTGCCACATCCTGTTAACTATTTTGGTTTTATGACACACTTCCCCTTATAGAATTTCTAAATGAAAATCTCAATTATTTTTAGAGTTATTAAAGTGAATGAAAATTAATTTTGTTTTGAAAATTTCAGAATGTTGGTGACAAAACATCTTGAGACTTTGAAAAAATGGAGTTGAGAATCACTTCTTTAAATACTGGATACCAAACTCATCCTTATTTTAAAGGAACTCAAAGATCTGTAAAAATAATCATTTGTATTATGCATGGAAGAAGTAGAGGATCAATGGTAGAACAGTATAAGGCAGTGGAAAGAATACTGTACTTGGAATTCACATTCTAAGCTTGGGCAAATAAACAGGTTGACCTGTTTACCTCTATAAACTTAGCAGTAAAACAGGGTTAATAACTAACCTGCTTATCTCATGAGATTATAATCTTTTAAAAAGCACAACATTTACTGATACTGTTCTAAGTGTATTATAAGCATCATTTAATTTAATGTTCGTAATAACTGAAACTTGAGGGTTGAGTAATCTGCTTGTGGTCAGAGAGTCAATAAGTAAGACTAGTAGAAAAGTCTGGATTTGAACCCCAGCATTCTTTTTTATTTTTTTAAAGAGAGAGAGAGAATTTTAATATTTATTTTTTAGTTTTTGGCGGACACAACATTTTTGTTTGTATGTGGTGCTGAGGATCGAACCTGGGCTACACGCATGCCAGGCGAGCGCACTATCACTTGAGCCACATCCCCAGCCCAAGAACCCCAGCATTTTGGCTCCAGAACTGGTGGGGTTTTGTTTTGTTTTGGTGTGTGTGTGTGTGTGTGTTTTCTATTTCCTCAGACTTTTTCTTCATCAAAAGGGGGATGATAAAGTTGGCTACTGCAGGTCAACAAACATTTTAATAGTAAGTATTTGAATAGTGATAAAACAGCAAGGTGTTTAGGATATAGAAACCAATGACATCTGAAAATGCATCTCTTTTTGGCTTTCATGTGGGGCAACTGTCAGAAGTACATACCCATTTGAGTGACTTGGTTACTCGTGGCTAGTGTACATTCTAATTTTTTGAGACCCATGTCACACTAGTTAAAGAATTTGAATCTCACATTGTCCAATTAAGTTCACTTTTTAAAGGGTTAATTCCACTCAAGTTGCTTTATAAAAACAGGTTGACCTAATTTTGATTTTTAAAATGAAACAAGCATTTTTATGTGTATCAAGCACTCTGCAAATGCTTTTATTAAAGATATATTCAATCCACTGTACTCTTACAACTGTTTCCAATGCATAAATGAGGCAACTGAAGCTCTAAGAGTTGGTGTTGCTTTCCTAAGATCATAAAAAACTGTTGGTGGCCAAGATGGCTTTTTGTTTTCTGTGGTGCTGGGGCTCACCTGTATTAAAAAATGGGTTTTGTGGGTTTTTTTTTTTAAATATTTTTTTTAGTTGTAGAAGGACACACACAATATCTTTGTTTATTAATTTATTTTTTATGTGGTGCTGAGGATCAAACCAGTGCCTCACACATGCTAGGCAAGCACTCTACCACTGAACTACAGCCCCAGCCCCAAAGATGGGGTTTTGATTCTAAGTCTTCTGACCAGAAGACCCTGGCTCCACCCACAACCCAACACTGAGTTAAATTTGGAACAGTGATAGAACATTTTTAAAGAACTTAACCTCAGGCCCAGGGAGTATAGCCAAGTGGTACAGTGCTTCTCAAGGTTCAGGGTTCCATCTCTAGCACCACAAAAAAATACTATAATTAATTATGTATTGAAGAGCTATGGGTGTAACTTAAGATTTTTGCTAAGAGAACTAGAAGGGGAAGGAAAACACACCAGTGACGCATTTCTGTGATGAATAAAGTGTCAATCAGTCTTGGGTTTTACCATATACTGAAATCACAGCCAAGATGAGCCACGCAGTCCATTCAGGGAGGTACTTGATAAATACCAGAGCCATGAGGGCACTGATCATAATGAGATATGCCTGCTGCAGTCGAAGTGGACCTTTCCAGTGAATGGAAATCATTCCCACCACACCAAAATTCCAGATTAGGAGTGCAACTGTAATGTAGTCCACAGCAACATTATAGGTTTTAAACACTTCCCTGAAAAAAAAAAAAAAGATTTAAAAGAAAAATTATGTATGATAATTCTCACCAAGACTCTGTGTGTGTGTGTTGATGCTGAGCATATGTGCTTAGTGAGCACCCTACACTGAGCAACATTCCCAGTTCTTTTTATTTTGAAACAGGATCTTGCCAAGTTACCCAGGACAGCCTCAAACTTGTGATTCTCCTACCTCAAACTCCTGAGTGACTGGAATTACAGGCGTGCTATACCATGCTGGGCCAAGACAAGATTTAGAACTCTAAACCTTGGGATATTCAAACCCCACCTTCATATTTTTACATGGCCTACATTTACTATGCTATTATTTATCTAACATGTTTCTTTAGATTCACTTTTTCTTCACATGGAGTTTATTTTAACAGGAAACTATTACTCATATAAATGGGAAACCAGTATCACAGGTTACAATTATAAAAATAAGTACAAAACTATATCACCTAAAATGCTCTTTGGTAAATCTTGGCTGGAGCCTGTGCCTAGTTCCTCAGGGATCCCTTTGGATTGTTCTCCCTGTGGTCCTGGAGCAGGCCTGGACTCTGCTTTATTTTTAAGTTTTACTTCATGGATGTACAATAATTTATTTAACCACTTTTTTTGTTGTTGTTGGGCAATCAGACAAATTTATTCTTTTGCTTTCAGAAACAATGCTTAATTATTATTCCTATAAATACTGAGTTTAGGACATATGCATTTAAAATGTTAATAGCTATGCAAAACTGCTATTAGGCATTACTTGCATTTTTTTCAGCTTAGAATATTATGTAGCTGTTTAATCTTTGTTAATTTAATGTGTATCTTTAGCATTAATCTTACAAGTAAGATATGCATATTTTCATATATTTAAGATAATTTGTGCTTTTCTTTGTTATCTTTTTGTGTTCTTTCTTATCCATTGGCCCTTGTTTTTTTCTGATAGGTTGTTGGTCTTATTGCCATGTAGAGGTTTTTTATATATAGTCTTTGTATATGAAATAAGGAGAAAATGTTTAGCAGTTTGTTATTCATTCTGTGATTTTAGACATTTTAGATTTTAACATTCATGATGTTAGACTTTCATCTATTCCAAATTTTTTCCCTAGATCACTACTCAATTATCCTCACACCAATTACTAAATAATCCATCTATAATCACCAGATGCTATGCCACCTTTTTCATAAACTACGTTCTGTTATATATCTGAGCATTTTTCTAGACTTTTTAATGTTGTCTAATCATGGTGCACCTATCACTGTTAATATAGTTTACTAATTTCATATTCGGTAGGCCTAGGACTCCTTCCCTTTTCTGTGGATAGCCTCATTTATTTATTTTTCCAAATAAAATTTTTTTGGGAGGTAACTTTATTTATTTTTATATGGTGCTGAGGATTGAACCCAAGGCCTTGCACGTGCGAGGTGAGTGCTCTGCCACTGAGCCATAACCCCAGCCCCTCCAAATAAACTTTAGAATTACCCTGTCCAGATTAAAAATAAATCCTAGCCAGGTGCGGTGGTGCATGCCTGTGATCCCAGCAGCTCAGGAGGCTGACCCACAAGGATTTCAAGTTCAGAGCTAGCCTCAGAAACTTAACAAGACCCTATCTCAAAATTAAAAAAATTTAAAAAGGGCTGGGATGCAATACTCAATGACTAAGTGCCTCTGGGTTCAATCCAGAGGGTTTAAAAAAAAAAAAAAAAAACTCGAATTTTTAAATGCTTATTGGTAAATCCCAAATAAATTACTTATAATATTGATTTTTTAAAGGTAGCCACAAATTTAATAATGTTAGCCCTATTTTGTATTTTATTTAGAGACGAGGTCTGAGTTGTTTAGTGCCTTGCTTTTGCTGAGGCTGGCTTTGAATTTGCCATCCTCCTCCCTCAGTCTCCCAAGCCACTGGGACTACAAGTGTGTGCCTAGCATACATTCTTAAAATCCATTTTTAACATTGCAATTTACAGATTTCTACTAGAAGAATGTAAGTCTTGAAAAAAGTTTAGAATTAACCGCAGTTGTGAGTTCTTTCACTTATTACGAGCAAGAAACAAAAATGAATATCCCTACTTTTTTTTTTTTAACATCTGAAAACTTTTTTGGCTTTATTTTAGTCATGAAGTCACATTTTACTTACATTATTTCCAACATTGTTGGAAATGCTGACTCATAGTCTTTGAATCATTTTCTCTGCCAATTTCAGTTGTTCATAATTAATGTATCATATGCCAATTAGTATACAATGGTCCATATGATATGGAATATCCCTACTATTGATAATATTCTGTCTCTTATATGCCAAGTTTTAAGAGTAATTCATTCTCAAGGTACATGGCTTTAAGGACAGTTATGGAGTCCAAACAATTAATGTCTGAAAAAGAGACTAAAAATTTCATCACTTACCCCAGATAAATGAATGAAAAAAAGAACAGCAACAATAGAGATGAAATGATAAGCCAGGCATGGATGACCTAGAAAGGAAAGCATTCCAATATGATCAGCAGATCCCATAACCCTTAAACAATGCAAATTTCTTACATCAGAAACAAGGAATATGTAAACTGGGCATGGTGGTACAACTGTAATCCCAGCTACTCAGGACACTGAGGCAGTGGGATCGAAAATTTGAGGCAAACCTCAGCAACTTAGGTGAGACCTGTCCCCAAATTGAAATAGGATAGGGACGAAGCTCATTGGTAGAACACTTGCCCAGAATGTGTGAGGCTCTGTGTTCCATCTCCAGTACTGCAAAGAACAAAAACAAACAAAAAACAGTATATGTGTAAATGTTCTGCTCCCCACAATCCCTATTTGAGTACTCAGAATGGAACTCAGGGCCTGGCACATGCAGGGCAAGCACTCCATGACATAACCATCTCCAGTCCTAGTCCAGGTTGTTGTTCTTCTTTTTTTTTTTTTGGTACCAGGGATTGGACCCAGGGACGCTTAACCACTGAGTTCCCAATATTCCCAAACCTTTTTATTTTGAGATAAGGTCTCACTAAGTTGCTGAGGTTGGCTTTGAACTTGCGAGCCTCCTGCCTCAGCCAATCAAGCCACTGGGATTATTGGCATGCGCCACCATACCCAGCTCCATGTTCTGCTTTTTAAAGGGGAGAACACAAAAATGGCTTTGGGATCAATGCATATTAACATGGAATTTTGGGGGGGTGCTGAATTAGTCATTATATAAAATAGAAACAAGACATATAAATTTTAGAAATTGGGCTGGGGCTGTGGCTCAGTGGTAGAGGGCTTGCCAAGCACGTGTGAGGACCTGGGTCCGATCCTCAGCATCACATAAAAGTAAATAAACAAAATAAAAGGTACTGTGTACAACTAAAAAATAAATTTTTTTTTAAAAAAAGAAACAAAAGAAAAGATGACATTTAAACTTTAAAAAGCAATATTTTCAATGGAGGAATTTTATAGTATTTCTGTAATAAGGATAAAAAAATTGAAAATCAGATCTTCAGTTAAGTAATCTGTGTATGTGTGTGTGTGTGTGTGTGTGAGTGTGTCTGTGTGTGTATGCTAACTTTACAGAGAAAATGGGCCTTCTAAACTACAATCACTTGATAAAAGAATACTCAGAATTTGAAGTTTCAGTAACTACCATAATACTTCTATACTTATTTGACAAGACTCATTAATTTAATAAGTATTATTATTAAAAATTCCAAGTCAGTCAAGCATTATCACACAGAATTCAGACAGCACTCTATACCTATTAGTCAATATTACTCTCGTACATATTACTGTAAGGGATAAAAATAAAAATATGATTTTTGCAAACTATTTTACAAAAGAAAGATTTTAAATGGTAATTTCATATAAGAGGTACATTTGGGAAAATGTTATACAATTCAAGAAGTCTGGAGTTTTAAAAAAGAGAATTGAGATATATGTTCACTGATAAGCTGTCAAGTAACTTCCAACCTAAAGTGGAAAAAAAATTTTTTTTTTTGGTGGTGCTGGGGAAGGAACTCAGGGCCTCATGTATACTAGGCAAGCACTCTACCATTGAGTTACATGTCCCCCCACTAAAGTGAAATTATTTTGAGGTGATTATGCTTTTTATTGGCTTTAACTATTCAAGGGACTTTATTATTTAATGGCAGAAGGAGCTACATAAACAATAACTTTTCAAAATCTCTGTCTTTTTTTTTTTTTTTTAAATCTCTGTCTTAACTAGTACAGATCTAGTCAAACCTTGAGGAAATGAAATAAAATCCCCAAATCAAGAATGCTGTTTTGTTCTTCTTAATTTCCTCCCTCTACCACCCATCAATTGTCCCAATAATCAGTTCTGAGATATCAAAACCCAGTTGGGGCTGCCAGAGATAGAGCTCAGTAGCAGATCATGTGCCTAGCATGCATAATACTTTGGGTTCAATCCCTAGCCCTGAAGAAAGAAAAAAAAAAAAAAAAAAAAAAAACCCACAAAACAAAAAGCCAAAATCTGTGATAAGACTGTGTTAATTTTCTCTCTGGTTCTGTTTTGATCACCCAAGGACTTTTCAATCAGTAATTGTTAATTCCTTTGAAAGAAATGATTTCTTAAAAATTCTCACCGTATTTTAAACAACTATATAAAATGATACTTTGGGGAAAGTCTTCACCTCCCACCTATGAAGGTTTCACCTAGAAACTGGTACTCCTTAGACATTAAATATTCTAAACTTACTACTGAAATACAATAAAGCTATTTCTGATATTCATTCATTAAAAAATTTCCCTTGCATTTTACTATGAAAACTTCCAAAGACACAGCAAAATTTAAAGAATTTCACAGTGAACACTCATATCCTAGCCTTGATTCTACCACTAGTAATTTGTCATTTGGAAAATTTGCTATTTTCCTCAATTATAACTTATAGTAACATGAACATCCTAGCACACAGTTTTTTAAAAAAATTTAATTTATTCCTTGAGATAAGTGAAAAAGCAAAAATTATTAAAGTGTATAAACTTTTTCTAATTGCTAAGTGTTAATACACATTGCTCAAACTACTTCACAAAAAAGGCTGGATTAATTTTATCAAGTCAATAGGTCAAATATGTTAATTCGATATTTTAGTATGCAGTTTTTTTTAACTGGTGAGGAAATACACACATGAATTTATCCAATTACCTAGTTATTAATCATGTATATTTCCCCCACATCTTCTCTGTCCATTTTTTTTTTTTTTACTTATTTGGAACGTTTGTAAGTGTTCTTTATATTGTAACAGTATCAGCCCTTTTACTATAATAATGGTAAACAGCTTTCCTACTTAGGTTGGTGATTTATGTTATGATTTTCTGAATTATTACCTGAATTCAAAGCTTCTTCAAATGATGACTAAATAGCACCCTCCTTTTCTAGAACATCTGGTAGTAAACAGACCCTTCTCATCTTGCAAAGATGCCTAGGTCAGCTTCCCTGTGCTAAAGGCTCTGAAAGACAAGAGCCCTATTTCAGTGTATAACAGTGCATACCTCTTCTGAACCCTGAACTATCCAAGCCAGAAATCATGTAACTAATAAGTTATAGCTCCATCTATAACAAATGGTGTATAATAATTAACTACATTTTCTATTTCTACCTTTGTAAGGCTTGTTTGGTCTTATTTAGCTTCTTGCAAGCATTGCACAATCAACCTCTGATATGAGAAATCCTTAGGGTTTATTTCCAAACAGGTCCTGGCAAGCTTCTGAAATTCTGACTCAAAAGCTCCTTTTACATTATATGAGCAGTCAAAGTAAACAGTTTCCTTCTATAGAACTGGCTCTGCTTGCTAAGACTTGATCATTAAAAAACAAAACAATACAAATGAGCAAGTGTGGAAATCTGGCTGGATACAAACATTTTAGACTGTCTAAAATTAAGCATAATTAAATTACAACTACCTTGTCTCTCACACTGACTGCAACTACGAAACTTGGCCTGAAAGCATTGCCACAGCTAGCTGAGGACTAGGAACAGTGAAGAGGCCAGGAGAATTGGAAGCCACAGAGAGCAGAACAGTTTCCACTTTGTCCTTCCAGTACCCTCCTCCTCCTCCACCTGAACTCAACACCAGTTAAGTGGGTATCAGTGAGACGATGGGAGATCCAGAAGTCTAATTCTGGTCTAAGGAGCAGGAACTGGTATCTTAACACCTAGGTTGCTGAGAAAGCTTTCCTCGCCTTTCTTTTCTTTGTTCTCTCATGCCCAGCCCCCAAACAATCTTGAGTGGTACAATAGGGGTGACAGAAGCCTAAAATTCTCTCTGATTAAAGGACCCTTAGTCCCCAGAATGAGGCAAACAGCCCTTGTTTTATTTCACTTTGATCTCCCATTTCTTGGTCCTGACATTAGGAAATCAGATCCTAGCTTTCTGCTGCAGGAATGGAAGAGGAATTCCAGAGAAACTAGAAACTAACTAAACCAGAAGCTCGTGAAAGTAACCTCTAAGCTGTTCATGAACTTGTGGACCCACCTCTATGGTAAGCATGTGTGGATATGATCCTCAAGAGCATTCAGATTTTTGACAACTGAATGGCACACAGGTGGGCCAGATCTGAGAAGTACTGCAAAGACTTTGAAAACTGAACTGATTATTGTCACAGGCTACAGATTAGAATTTACAGCCTAATTCAACCAGGTCAGTTTGTTAGGTAGCTGGTTATAAATGGGTGAATAGGAAAAGGACAATGACAACTGAAAACCAGCCAAAACCTCCCCGGCCATAATTAATTACATCCCCTTAAGAAAAATTGTTATTTCCAGATCAGGCCACACCCTACCAGGTAGTCTGGACCTTCTCCAATCACCAAGACTATGTCACAAGCCCCAATCATCCTTTCAACCAAAACATCAAGAGTCTCACAAAGAAAGTTTGCTGAGTACTACTCAGAGGGTAATAAACGGATTAAGGAGGTAGGGAAGTAAGGCAAAAACAAGGGTACTCAATTTCCTTGAAAACCCCAACTCTGAGCACCAAATCATTCTCTCTTCAAGGCGTCAGTGCAGTTCCTTCATTGTATGTCACCCTCACTTCTCAATCTCTCTGGGACCACTGTGCTGACCCTCCACATGCTTTTAAAGGAACAATTTGCCTGCCTGGCTTCAGTCCACAGTATATATTACATTCTTCAGCAAAAAACCTGTTATATGCAGGAGAAATGCAAGGTCAGTTGAGGTCAGCGTGGGCCTAGAACTGTCCTATGTAGTGGGCACTTGAAAGTCTGATGTTATCCTGCTGTCAGTCAAAAGTCAAGAGGTGGACCTGGGAGGGACTCTCTGGAAACTTCCCTGGGACTCCCAGTAAAACTGGAAGGCAGGGAGGGCATGCAGTCCACCTCTCTGAGAGCATCTACTCTCCTCCTTGAGAATGTCCCCTTTTCCTAATTCTTCTGATAAAATCATGACTGCTACTCAGAGCAACATGTCTGAAATCTTTCTGGCATGACTGCAAGAACTGGTAAAGAGAGGATCTCTGTGGCT